TGTTCTCACTGCTTCCTTTCTGCCCAGGTAGCAGTGTGCTCTAACGTGCGTGCGTTCTCTCTTTGCTGCTTGTTGCTCATCTCTCATCATTGCGAACATATGTGTGTACTTTAATTGTTTAACTTGTTCTATTCTTGATGTTTTACTTTAAGTATGTTTCACTGCCCGCGGCAGGTAATGATATCATCACTTGTCAGCCGAGTAGCTTTACTTTCTCCCACTTAGTTTACCTCCTTCTGGTGTGACGTATTGGCACTCCAGTCAAATCAGCTCATTTTAATATATTCTGGATTGTCGGTAGTCTTGCGGAGTAAGATTGATGATTGTCCGATTTGTGCCTGTTTTCAGAGATGGGTGTACGTGCAGCCTGAAAATGAGCCGGGAAGATGCTCGGAAGTGAGAGAGTAGGTGAGGGTAGTTTTTGAGACATTAGTTAAATGTTGAAAAGGTGGTGACAGGCCGTTATAGAACATGCCTCACTCCCGCCTGTATTGTATAGTGCTGTTGAGTGATGGTACCATGGCAACACACTGCTCCGAGCCTCTACTTCAGTTTAACTCACGTCTACTGTCATATCCCACCTCTACACTTGTCTTCTGTTTCTGTACTTGCTGTTTTGAGCTACTTTTCTGCTCTCTACATCCAGTTCTTTTTTTGTCTTTTTTGTGCTGTTTTCGTCATGTTTTCCTGTTTTTTGTTTGTTCTCAGTTATCTGCCTTTTTTACTGTTTGCTTTTTAAATATTGTTTTGATGTTTTATGTTTTCTTATGCTTTATATGTTTTCCTGTTTTGTAGTGGTTCTGTGCTCTGTTTTTGGTTTTATTTCCGCTCTTTCCCTGCTGACACGGCCACACTGAACTGACCCTGAACAAGCCGAATCTGGTGGTGACAGTGTGTTTTGATGGGGAGGCGGTGATGGCATGATGGGGGAGGCGGTGATAGCATGTTAACAGTTGGAGACGCTAAAAACACCCAAATAACACCACCTTTCACCTGGCACTTTACACCTACCACTTGACTACTTGAGTCAGTTCTTTACTTTTACTGTATTAACTATTAAGTCAGGTCATTACTTTTACTGTATTAACTATTAAGTCAGGTCATTACTTTTACTGTATTAACTATTAAGTCAGGTCATTACTTTTACTGCATTAACTATTAAGTCAGGTCATTACTTTTACTGTATTAACTATTAAGTCAGGTTATTACTTTTACTGTATTAACTATTAAGTCATTACTTATAGTGTCAAATTAGGTCATTACTTTTCCGCACTCAATCAGTTGTCGGGGCCCAACATGTATCTTTAAATTTCCTTTATAACACTACTATGGTTCCACCCTTTCCTAGCAAATTTTAGCTCTTTATACTTTTCTCTGTACTCTTCATAGGTTTTCTCCCTACTCTTTACTCCTTATTTTAAACTCTTTGCTCACTACTATTTTATCTTTACTCTGTTCTATCCTCTCTACTCCTCACTTATTATCCTTCACTCTACTATTGCTATTAATAGTCCTCACAATTCCTTACTACCCCTCCTCCTCTCTTTACTCTTCACTCACAATTCCTTACTACCCCTCCTCTCTTTACTCTTCACTCACAATTCCTTACTACCCCTCGGCCTCCTCCTCTCTTCACTCACAATTCCTTACTCTTCACTCACAATTCATTACTATCCCTCCTCCTCTCTTCCTCTCTCCACTCACAATTCCTTACTACCCTCCTCCTCTCTTTACTCTTCACTCACAATTCCTTACTATCCCTCCTCCTCTGTTTACTCTTCACTCACAATTCCTTACTACCCCTCCTCCTCTCTTTACTCACAATTCCTTACTACCCCTCCTCCTCTCTTTACTCTTTACTCACAATTCCTTACTACCCCTCCTCCTCTCTTTACTCTTCACTCACAATTCCTTACTACCCCTCCTCCTCTCTTTACTCTTCACTCACAATTCCTTACTACCCCTCCTCCTCTCTCTACTCTTCACTCACAATTCCTTACTACCTCTCCTCCTCTCTTTACTCTTCACTCACAATTCCTTACTACCCCTCCTTCTCTCTTTACTCTTCACTCACAATTCCTTACTACCCCTCCTCCTCTCTTCCTCTCTCCACTCAAAATTCCTTACTACCCCTCTCTTTACTCTTCACTCACAATTCCTTACTATCCCTCCTCCTCTGTTTACTCTTCACTCACAATTCCTTACTACCCCTCCTCCTCTCTTTACTCACAATTCCTTACTACCCCTCCTCCTCTCTTTACTCTTTACTCACAATTCCTTACTACCCCTCCTCCTCTCTTTACTCTTCACTCACAATTCCTTACTACCCCTCCTCCTCTCTTTACTCTTCACTCACAATTCCTTACTACCCCTCCTCCTCTCTCTACTCTTCACTCACAATTCCTTACTACCCCTCCTCTCTCTACTCTCCACTCACAATTCCTTACTACCCCTCCTCCTCTCTTTACTCTTCACCCACAATTCCTTACTACCCCTCCTCCTCTCTTTACTCTTTACTCACAATTCCTTACTACCCCTCCTCCTCTCTTTACTCTTCACTCACAATTCCTTACTACCCCTCCTCCTCTCTTTACTCTTTACTCACAATTCCTTACTACCCCTCCTCCTCTCTTTACTCTTCACTCACAATTCCTTACTACCCCTCCTCCTCTCTCTACTCTTCACTCACAATTCCTTACTATCCCTCCTCCTCTCTTTACTCTTTACTCACAATTCCTTACTACCCCTCCTCCTCTCTTTAATCTTCACTCATAATTCCTTACTACCCCTCCTCCTCTCTCTACTCTTCACTCACAATTCCTTACTATCCCTCCTCCTCTGTTTACTCTTCACTCACAATTCCTTACTACCCCTCCTCCTCTCTTGAATCTTTACTCAGTAATCTTTGCTCCCTGTTCCGCACATAACGTGACATTGTGACAGGACAGTATCTAATTGCTGTATTTGCTCTCGGCTGCAGTGATATTATACCATATCCGTCTGAGTGTATTATGTGTACTGCCCAGTGTAGTTGTTTAAAGGCTTGTACTTCTCCATTTCGCCGCACTTGTCGCTGGATTGTGTGCGCACGTGTGCAGTGTTACGTGCAATTCTGCACGTGCAATGTTGTGGTAGAATGTTGCACGTGCAAACTGGGCTTTGTAGTGTGATTTGTTAGCTATTTGAATGTTTACCGGTTCTTTCCTTACACATTTAATGCCTAATGGCCATATTATCATACACAGATGGGTTCAATTTAGTATGTGATTTAACTATTTAGTGCGGCCTGATTTTACATAATTACATCATGGCTAGGAATTGTTCTGGAATGCGTTATTTTACAAATAATATCCCATTTATATATAATATATTAACATATTATGGCAAATTAGAATTTGGTTAATTAATTGATTTGATAGTATTAAGCAGCGAATAAATCCAAACATTAGTTTCTGTTCAATTTTAACATCAGTTGTGATTGTGATAAAAGTGGCGTTTGGATCATAAAATATTAACCGTGATTGCTTTCCACTGCACATGAACAAAATAGTTCTAGAATATTCGATTATTTGAAAAAACCTTTATAGTTGGGATATATTTAGATTCCCTCTAAATAATGGTAAATGTAATTTGTTAATTAAAACACAATGTTCAAATTACCAGTTTATTACAGAAATTATCCAATTACTAATCAATTACCTAATTAGCGATGACGAGACACGGCGGGTGAGTGGGTGATGTAGCTATCAGACTGGTGGGAGGATGTTCGACGGTACAGCGTCAGGTAATTATGCACAATTATTAATTATGCATATTTCATTACATAATTCATAATACATAATCTAGTAGGAGTGATTAAAAATGCTTTCTGATTTGAAAACTTTGCATTGAAATTCTTCTGTAATCAATTTGACGTTTAATTTTTGGTGATATAGTACGAAAGTGAATGGTCTTTCGCTTTTTGTAATTAACAGTGCTTTGTTAATTGAAAACGCTGCATAATCAATTTGTGATATAGTACGTAAGTAAATGATTTGTTTTTAGCACAAACGGGTCATACATATCTTGAATTATAAATTATTAAAGAATAACTCGTCCAATATCAATTTGACATTTGATTTTGGATATAGACAACGAACGTGAATGATCTTTCGCTTTTTGTTTTCAACCAAGACTGATCATACATATCTTTAATTATTAATAATAAAAAATAATTTAACGTTTTTGCAGATCAATTCTTCCATAGTCAATTTAACATTTAATTTCGGTAATATAGTATGAAGGTGAATGATCTTTCGCTTTTTGTTTTTAATCAAGACTGGTCATATCTTTAATTATTAATAATAAAAGAACAATTAAACGTTTTAGTGGTAACTCTGTATTATCATTTTCATTAAACATCGTGAACATGCCCCACCTCATACTGTTCGTTTATCTAGTTTTTCAGTAAATTATAGTTCGCTCTTATACCATGCCCGTTGTTAGTGCACGTGTAAAATTAGTTCAACTAAGAGAGCACAGTTCACAATCCTCGACAGATAACAGTTCTGATTACAGCACAGATAACAGCCCATTTTTACCAGAGAAAAGCAGCAAGGAGCCGGGTGATGATATCGAGCAGTTACCCGTCGATAAGATCGCCCTCATCTTACCTGGATTCGTCATCTTAGCAGGTAAATTCTTACCCCTTTTTAAATTAGCAGGTAAATTCTTACCCCTTTTTAAATTTTGATTGGTCATCCTAGCAAAAAGGTAAATACTAAATGATTACCCCTTTTTAGATTTTAGTCGTCATCTTTGTTTGTTTGTCGTTTTAGCTGGTTGATCTTTACCTTTTTTAACGTTTTATTCGTCATCTAAAATGTCTTATTGTCACAGAGGAATTTGTTTCCCTTTGAATCAATCAAACTAGATGAATTGTTGTAAATACTGAGATCAAACTATCAATCTACAGGCTATCGTCAAACATGTTGCAAGGCGTCATCTTCAGTGACATAAGCCCTCAAATTATTTGTTATATAGTAGTGTTGAAAGTATTAAAACTCTGTCTTATTGTCACCCCTTTATAGATTTAGTTAGCAGACTTACTTTGATCTTATTTACATCGTAATAGTTATCTTACTTTTATTTTAAAATCTTACTATATATAAAGCGAGACGATATATATATATATATCTGTGCCATTTTACTGACACCACGGCATCAACTTTAACGCGACTTTCCGCAAAAACCGTAAAAGATATACAACTTGAACTTTTTTGGCTGGGTCAAATGCTTTAATGGCCTTCAAATCAGCATGAAAAAATAAAAAATTGGCCAAGGAATAATGATTTTAGAGCCGAAAATTTGGACCCCCAAGTGGTGTCAAAAACGCCAATTAAATAGGTAATAATTATTTTAGTATTTTGAGTCTTGACACCGTTTAGGGTTATATTATACGGGTTCCTGCTAGTGCAATTAAATTGTACATCAATGTATTACAATTACATTTCGCAAGACCAAAATATCTACAATGAGGCAAACATGATTTATTAAGGCTAGAGAAATATTCATGAAACTAAACACTACCGGCTGCAGCTGGAGTGAGAAAAATGAATTTAAAACATTTGTAAAATCTATTTCGGCTAAACCAAACCACAACGGTTAAACCATAATTACATTGATGCCTATTTGACAAAATTGTGTCTATCTTTTTGTCAAATTTTCCTAGATATTTTTGTTTTTCATGATGTTACGCAAAGGTTTATGATGTACGTAAAGTTACAATTGGCAGCAGATAACTAATTATCGGCACTTCAATTAATTCTCAACTATTTCAGGAACAGTACTGGTAGCACTTGGGTTCGCTTACCGGGAAACCTTCGAATCGGGATACATCGCCGGCTTCTGTCTTCTCTTCTTTGGTATAATTGGATTTTTACACTTAGCCTCGGTGATATTGGAACAGGGCACGTGGCTCAACGAAACAGACGATGATTCCTGAACTCAAGAGATCACATGCTTTTTACACGAGAGATCTCACATGACTAACCCTTGTTGCTATGGTGCGTTATCAAGTCAGGAGATATTTATTAGAGGTGTCAGTGGGCCACGTCAATAGTTTGGGGCAGCAGCTGCACATTATAGCAGCACGTGGTAACGCGCAGCTGCACGTGCATATTATAGCAGCACGTTGTATTGCGCAGCTGCACGTGCGCATTTATAGCAGCACGTGGTAATGCGCAGCTGCACGTGCGCATTATAGCAGCACGTAGTATTGCGCAGCTGCACGTGCACATTATAGCAGCACGTTGTAACGCGCAGTTGCACATGCAGACCATGACAGTTCGTGGGTTCTCTAAAGTTTTTAGTAAATTGCTCCTCAGCAAGCGGAAGTGTCTACCAACTGCTTTAACTACTAGTCAAGTTCTGGGAAATCATACTTCTTATAAGCTCTCTATAAGGGAACATAGCGGACTTTAAGCTTTTAAGGGGTGTTCTGTACTGGGAATACGACCTCGCATCTTAAAACGAACTGTCAGGATGAAAAGTAACTTGCTGGTTTTCTTAAAATCAAGAGTATAAATATGTACAATAAATCTTTTGTATGAGCGGCCAAGCGTTTGACATTTGCACATTATATTTTACCTAGTGTCTACTGTATAACTATTGGTAATCTTCCTTATTGGGCGATGGATTTGTAGTGCCCATGTTACCTACAGACCCAAAACTATTTTATTTTTGTGCAATGTTTATATATAAAAAGGGTACGGAAACGTGTGTTTCACTTTTTAGATTTATTAATTACTGATCAAACGTTAATTTTAGTTGGTATCAAAATTACTAGTTAAGTTTTTCAAATTACAGTTACAATAATATGAGAGCCCGGTTTTAAGCGATTTTTGGCAGGAAAAGTTTTAGTATCACTTATAATCCGAGTAGGATTAAAAACTTTCTTCTGTCAAAAAATAATAATAATTGATAATATCACAAGATTTTGGAACCAAAATGTGCCAATGAGCTTGTAAAAATATTTAAGGTTATTGATTGTCAATCAAGAAAGTCCATGAAAGTTGTCAACTGACAGTGGTAAGGCAATTTGTTGATGTCTTAAAGAACCATTGTCAGCCTCATAAATACGGTTTATTAATTTTTAGTACAGACTAAAGGTCCACTCTTGTACAAGATTGGTCCAATATTTTTACAAATTGGTCCATGCCCGCTGTCTAATACTGTGCATTATTTCTCCAATTATTGTAGAACATGGCTCTTTTACTTTATACTGGAGTGGGCCTCTGTACTGACTCAGAAAGGGTGGTCCTACTGTCCTAGCTACTGTGTAACTCTTTTCCGGAATCATTTCAAAGTTTCAAAAACATAGCAAACAATTATCACCTATGACTCACCAAGATTGATGATTGATCCAATATTATGTAAAATCAAAAATAGGTCAAATCCTAATAAACGGGCGGCACTCAGCTTGTCGGCTGTCATTATGAACAAAAAAGCTTGAGGTCCCCAGCACCCAGGTAAACAAATCTTACGTAATCCGTACAACAATCTAACAAATATAACTGATGGCTGAGCTCTGCATGGCACTGGCAGATCTTACCAGGCGCGCCTTTCCCTAACGGATTTGGGTGATACTCTTTTAAAATATTAGAGTTAGACCATTGGGCATCGACGAGTCCAACTTTACTGGGCCGCGCTCAGCCTGTCATTCCGCCGAATCTCTATTATGAACATAATAGCCTGAGGTCCCCAGGTAAGTCCAACTCGGCGCGCGTCTTCTTGGTAGGTTATATACCTGCTACCTATGCCCAGCGCTCTTCTCAAGCTTCTAGCATAGGCGAGATCATAAGCTAGCAATAGACTAGCAGTAGCAATGAGCCAGGCAACGCTGATCAGATTGTTTCAAATATGCGCACCTATTGATAATGGTTTCTGTCTCCGAATGCCAAAGAAAGCAAGCACACTCCCCAAATTGCACTGATCATTGCACTAGTACCAATACATTCACCTTACCTAGTAACTATGTGCTTTCGCGCCACCGCGGGCGCGCTTGTTTCACAATTCAAGTACCTTTATGCCTGGGGACCCTTGTATCACGTTGTGACCCCCACGGTCGTCCTGACGATACAGGGGGAGCCGCGCTCTTCGTGCGCGGCGGGTCATACAACGTATGACAAGGGACTCCAGGCCATCATATTTATGTTCATAATCATAGAGATTAGGCTGATCAGCACCGCCCAGTAACAAGTACCGGGTGGCGGGCGCGCGCCACTGCAAGCTCAAGGGCTCTGGATAGATCGAGCAACCAAGTACACACTACACAATTTTACTGGGCCGCGCTCAGCCTGTCATTCCGCCAAATCTATATGTTAATGAACATAATAGCCTGGGGTCCTCAGGTAATACACAATTAAGTCTTACAAGCTTGAATCGGGTTACTGGGCGGCGGCCGGCGCTTTCACCTAGCCTCGCGTACTGCGTGACGCGCTTGTTTCACAAGTAATATTTGCAATAATATATCCTGTGCCAACTTCGCCCCTTCGGCGGTCGCGCGCTACTGCAAGCGAGACGGCTCTGGATAGAGCAAGCCCGCGCTCAGCCTGTCCACTGTCATTTGTCATTCCGCCTAATCTCTCTAATCTCTCTATATTTTGTTTATGAACATACAACATAATAGCCTGAGGACCCCAGTTGACCATTGTTAATGATCTGGCCCGGCGCGCGCTACTTTGTTGCACTTGCCGTCGGGCCATTTCGAGAAGAAAGCGGCGCGCGCTACTTCGAGGAAATTTAGACGAGTAACATCCGTCAAGTCCCCAGGTAAGTACATACATATTACATTGCAATGAAAACTGCGATGAAATGCAGTTTTCATCGCAATGTGAATGTAGGTTTCATCGCAATGTAATTATAATATGTATGTACTACGGCTTAACTTTTGAATAAATCACCTAGCCTAGAATATAAATACTTTTCAAAGAAAATATATAACAAACTTAACTTTCTCTGTGAAAAGCAACATTACATAGATACAATGATACATCAACATGGTCCCCGGATTCTTACTACACGTTGTTTAAATAAATACTACACGTTGTTTAAATAAATACTATCTGTCGTGCATGCGAAGCGTGCACTCGATCCGACCGCCCGGTCTTTTATGGCCGGAAGCCGTTGTGAAAAGGGGTTGCAACGTGTTATGTGTCAACCGGATTCTTTTCCTTTTCTGCTTTTGCGCTTGCAGTAAGTTGCAGTCTAGTACAATAGCGGACTTGTGAAACAAGCGCAGCGCGTCACGTTATCACGTAGTCAGTAGTACGCGAAGGCCCGTGGTTAGGTGAAGCTAAAACATAAAATTGCAATTGAAAATGCCCATTTTGATCGGTAAAACGTCGCGTGAAATACTCATTTTCGGTAATAAAACATGAAATACCCATTTTCGGTTCAAGTTTATATAGTTAAATTGCCAATCTAATCTGGACAATCGGGCATTTACTAATTTGCTTGACGGATGTTACTCGTCTAACTTTCTTCGAAGTAGCGCGCGCCGCTTTCTTCTCGAGGCTGGAGGCAAGTGCTACGAAGTAGCGCGCGCCGGGCTTGTCCATTAACAATGGACAACTAATTTGCCCGCCCAAAAATTATTACTTGACTTTAGTTTTTATGACTTTATGTGTTACTAGTGTAACCCGGCCTACGGCCGGGATTTCACTGCCGCAGTTAAAAAGGGTAGGAGTAATTACCCGCTGAGTCAAAACCCGCATTAGGTGACCCAATAGTTTCTTAAACAATAATCTCATAATCAGTTATTTCTTGTGGACAATTAAGTCATTATTAGCCATGAGGCACCACACTCCATGATCATAAGGTCTGAACACTGAGTATTACACCTCATCACTCCCGTCTTGAACCGCTTTCTATTTTTATTTAGATCGTTATAGAAATTAACCCTTGTTAACTCCGCACCACACCCGCATATTATATTTGAAAACACGCATAACACTGTCGAACTCTCTCTCTCTCTCTCTCTCTCTCTCTCTCT